TATTCTGCAGTACAAAAATCCTAGGATTACAAACAAGAATTAGCTACCCAGCAAAATTGAGTCTAATCTTTTTTCTTTTTTTGTTAGTGGGGAGAGGCATATATAGATATTCAATAAAATAGAAGATTTTCAAGCATATCTGATGAAAAGACCAGAGCTGAATAAAAAATTTGACTTTCAAATACAAGACTGAAGAGAAGCATGAAAACATCAAAAGAAGGGAGAAACAATAAGGGATTTAGTTAGATTAAACTGTTTACATTCCTACATGAGAAGATGATACTTGTCACTCCTAGGATCTTTCTCATTATTAGAGCAGTTAGAAGGAGTATACATACACAGAGGACACAGGTCTAAGTTGAATATGATGGGCTGATACCTAAAAAAATAAAGTAATAAATGAGAAAGATGAATTTATTAGGTGAAGGGGAAAAGGAGACGTACAGTAGGCTGAATTATCTCACATAAAGAAGTACAAAACAGCTTTTACACTGGAAGGGAAGATAGGAGACACAGAAGGGGAACACTTTAACCTTACTTTCATCAGAATTGGCTCAAAGATAGAACAAAATACACATTTAGTTGGCTGTAGAAATCTATCTTGTCCTACAGGAAAGTAGGAGGGGAAGGAGATAAAAGAAGGAAGGATAGTAGTCTGTAGGGTAGGGGGAGGCAGTAGTCTGAAGCAAAACACTTTTGAGGATGGACAGAGTGAAAGGAGAGATAGAGAAGGATAAACAGAGGGAAATATGATGGAGGGAAATATAGTTAGTAATTATAACAGTGAAAAAATTGATATTTTTTCTGATAAAGGCTTATTTCTTAAATATATAGAGACTTGAATAAAATTTATAAAAAATAAGAGCTGTTCCACAATTGATAAATGGTAAAATGATATGAACAGGTAGTTTTCAGACAAAGTGATCAAAGCTATCTATAATCATATGAAAAAATGCTCTTAATCATTATTGATTAGAGATATACAAATTGAAACAACTCCAAAGTATCACCCCACACCTCTTAAATTGGCTAGTATGACAGAAAAAGAAAATGACAAATGTTGGAGGGGAGGTAAGAAAATTTGGATATGGACATATTGTTGGTGGAGTTGTGAGCTGATTCAGTCTTTCTGGAGAGTAATTTGGAACTATGCCCAAAGGCCTACAAAACCATGCATACCCTTTGACTTAGAAATACCAATATAGGTCTGTATCCCAAAGAAATTAAAAAAAAAAGGTGAATGGACCTATATGTACAAAAACTAAGTGAATATTAATTTAGAATGGTAAGTGGAATATATTTTTATTGATGCCTTAACTTTGAGGTGAAATACAAATAAAATTGCAACATGCCAATGGCAATGTTATAATATTTTGGAAATTCTTCAAGAGGAAAGATATATTGTTGGGGAATTTTAAGTGGCTTTGGCATGCCAGTGTGACACGGTGGGCTAGGAAATGGAAAATGCAATGAAAGGCATTACTACTGATAACCTAAAAAAAAAAAACTGCTCCAAAAAAATCAACAAGTAAAATATACTAAAGGCAAAAGAAAAAATATAGAGTATTTGAAATAAATTTTATAGAAAAAAAATTTAAAAAAGATTAACATTATAATCAACATTTTTAAAATGGTAAATAGCAGTTAAAAAGGGGGCAATCACTTATGAATGAAAAAAATAGCAATGCATTAACATATGGGAAGCCACCTTGAATAAAGCCCAAAGGGAAAAAAAAGAACTTCTGTAGGACTTTGGCAGAAAAAAAAATTGTGCATATTTCCCAAGAGAACTTAGCTATGAAGGACTTGAAAAAATACTTTGAATAAACTTATAAAATCTAGTGGGAAATAAAGCCTGAGTCTCAATGTCTTCATCTTAAAAATGCTGATATATAAAGTATAAAGAGACCCAAGTAATTTATTTTGAGCAAACAACATTAATAATAAGAGTAATAGTTATATGATATTTTGTGGTTAACAAAGTGCTTTCCTTGTAACAAGATTATGAGTAAATGATTCAATCATGATTATACTTATTATAGAGATTAAGAAACCTGGTCTCAGGAAAGTAAAAAGACAGTAATACAATCACCTCTATTACCTGAACTCAGTACTTCTGACTTTAATTTCAAGGGTTTTCCATGAATCCTGCTGCCTTTGCACTATATGACTATTTAAAAAAATTAAAAAGAAAATTCTGATTGCAAAAATTCTGAAGAACATTTTTTTTATAAATTTAATAAACCATATTGTTGACAGACTCTGAAATAATGTCATTAAGATCATGCCAATTCTAAATTCTGTTGGGTTTTTTTTTTCATTTTCATTATACAAGATTCTGATTAAGTTCATGTCTGGAATATTGTAATAAGCTCCACTGTTATCACACTGCTTAATTTCTTTCCACTACAAAATTTATTACAAAATATGTCTAGACTAATCCTACTGAAAAACCACTTGAATTATTTCCTTCTCCTATTCAAAATTTGTTAATGAAACTTCTTTGAAGGTCAAGTTCTCCACTTTGATATTTAAGGGTTCTAATCTATCTTGCTAGCCTTACCTCCTATTATTCTCCTAACCAAATCCTATCTTCTTCTAGATTAGTTCATTTATTGTCCTGGACAACAGTTATACTCCTTCTTTCCTCTATTCTAATCAGATCAGAAGTATAGAACAATAATAAAAATAAGAAATATTATTCATAACCTGGCAGGGTTGAGGGAAATCTTTAAAATTTATTGGATTCATGTCTATATATGTATTTATCTCTTTTAAGATTTAGGAAGAAAAAAGAATAAAGGCTAAAATCCATTTTACAGCTATTTTTTTCTATAAATAATCAAATAAATAGAATCAAAAAGAGCAGACAAATAGTTATCATTTTGTAAGATTTATGAATGTCCAGAGATAATTTTTAAATGAGTGTTATACACAGAAAAGCAGCATGAAGGAAAAGAAAAAAAAATACAGATTAAGAGTTCAAGTATCCAGGCAGCTGGGTTGAACAGCACATTAAGAGTTGGGATTTGGAGTCCAGATCTTAGTTCAAATCCAGCCTCAGATCCTTACTAACTGTGTGACTCTTAGGCAAATCACTTTTTATCTGTCTGCTACAGTTTCCTTACCATATAATGGGGCTAATAATACCACCTACTTCTGAGGGTTGTGCTGAGAATAAAATGAGAAAATATCCTTAGAAAACTTAGCACAGTACTAGACACATAATTGCACTTAATAAATATCTTATATCTTCCTTCCTTTCTTCTTTCTTTCCATCCTGGGTTCTTATACTGACTCTGATATTAGGTATGCCACTATGAGCAAGTAATTTAACCTCTCTCAGACTCTGTCTTATCATCTGTAAATTGAAGGGATAGGAGCAGATAGAACCTGACATTTTTTTTAAATTTTGTGTTCTGTTTGTTGTTGGTTTTTTTTTTTACTTTATATGTTTGATAGCACAAAAAAAAAATTGTTGCAATATGATATGCTTGTCCCAAAGTTAACACTTTGATTCTAAGAAGAGCAAGGTGTCATGACAAATTCAGGGCTTGGTTTGAAAGACACCCCATTTACCTAAACATTTGTCTCTTGAGATGCAATATTAAACTGAACCTGCAGCAAATTTTCTATGGAGGAATAAAGCAGACCATTAAAATTAATCTTGCTGGAAATGCCAAACCAAAATAATAGATCTGATCCTTTACTCTGGAAACTTGGGCTTTGTCTTTCAAATGGCTCAAAACATTTTACATATATCATCTCATTAATCTAGAAGCATCCCTATTAGGTACTTTCAAAGCAACATTATCTGTATTTGAAACAGGAAGAAAGAGGATTTAAGTGATTTAGCTGAAGAGCTTTGGAAAGAAAATAGTGAATAGAAAACTGTCTTGTCACTCTTCTTCAATCCACTTTTAATGATATTTATTTATTAAACAATGAGTCAAGTCAAATCAATAAGCATTTATTAAGAGTTTACTATGTGCCAGGAGGAGCAATTAGGTGGTGCAGTGGATAAATTATGGGGCCTGGAGTTAGGAAGACCTGAGTTCAAATCCAGCCTTAGACATTTACTACCTGTGTGACCTTAAGCAAGTCACTTAATACTGTTTGCCTCAGTTTCTTCATCTGTAAAGTGGGCTGAGAAAAGGTAATGTCAAGCTATTTCATTATCTTCCCCAAGAAAATCCCTAATGGGGTCACAAAGCGTTGTTCATGACAGGAACAATTGAATAACAACATGTGCCAGGGAATCAACTGAATACTGAAGATACAAAGAGAAGACAAAAAAATGTTCGTGCTCATAAAATGATGATATTCCAGTGGGGGAGACATATGCAAATTACTATCTAAATATAAGAAAATAATCTTAGAGAAAAGATACTAGTGGAGAAGTTGGGTGGAAAACTACCAGGAAAAGGTTTCCTGAAGAAGGTGAGGGTTACAACTGATTTTTTTTTCTTTTGTTTCCCCCAAAAAACAAGCATCCTTTAATGCAGTGGCTCCTGAAGTACAATAGCGGATGTTCATAATGATGGAAATCCCACCCCCTACACTTTCTACTCCCACCAGTAATCAAGAAAAATTTAAATTATGTCTAATATACTCTTCATTCTCTATACTTTTGCATAAAGGTAGGAATCACTGAATATTCCAGAGAGTTGAGATCTTGCTATGTTAATTTTATTATGATTAATGTTGTAATGAAGTATCATTTAACTTAGATAATAGATATATTCCACTGGAGGAATAACAGTTATTTTTTTTTTGGTTTAGCCATACCAGATGGATGTTGAGATCCACTGTCATAGCCTGTGAGAACACACAGTCACCATTGTGCCATAATAAGGTCAGTCAATCAATTAATAAACATTTATCAAGCATATACTATATGTCAGGCACTATTGCTAAGCACTGCGAATACAAAGGAATGAAAAGGACAGTTCCTGCTCTCAAGAAGCTCACAATCTGTTCCTTCACCCTGTGGAGCCATCATGGGTTGCGTTCAGACCAAGACTATGAAGAAGGAGGTGCCAGTCATCATCAAAAAGTACTACACCTGCCAGACTCAGCTCCTCTCTCACCACGGTCAGACAGACTTTTCCTACTGACCTTCTAAGTTGCCTTTGTGTGCTGAGAAGTCTGGAAATAGCCACAGCTCTCCTTGATTCAATCCTCTGAGAACTGCTCCAGGTTTGCTCAAGCCTGGTTTTTGCCTGAATGACCTACACTGAACTGTGTTCCTCTCCCAGCCTGGTACAATAATCTTTCCAATCAACCATCCAGGTTGTCTTGGGCTGGAAATTTGTTTCACTCTGTCTTTTTGTGGATTGTGCTGCTCTAGAATTTGTTTAGAGCAATTTTTACAGGTATTTGGAGGGGTTTGGGGGAAAGCTCAAGCAAGTCACTGCTTTTACTCCACCATCTTGGCTCTGCCCCCTGAATTTTTTTTTTTTAGGCAATTAGGGTTAAGTGACTTGCCCAGGATCACACAGCTATTAAGTGCCTGAGGCCAGATTTGAACTCAGGTCCTCCTAACTCCAGGGCTGGTGCCCTATCTGCTCTGTCACCTAGCTGCTGCACGTAACGTTACAACTGAATCTTGAGGAAAGCCAACCAAGAAGCCAAGATGCAGAAGTGAGGAAGAAGAAGAATCTAGTCATGGAAGGTAACTGGGGGGAAAGAATTAAGCCAGAAGATGTCTGTGGATCATCCAGTTACAGATATCCATAAGGACATTGGTGTTGCCAAGGTGGAACTAAAGGGAAAGATTAGGACTGGAAATACAGATCTAGAGGTCATTTACACAGAGATGATAATGGAACCCATGAGAGCTTATGAGAGCATCAAGGAAGATAGTATAGCATGAAAAGAGAAGGGACCCTCCTGCAGAGCATTGAGGGAGGGGGGTTACCTACAATGAGTGTGAGTGACTTAAATGAAGATTCAACAAAAAAAGAATGGGAAGGAGAGTATAGATGGGAGGTTTACCAGGAGAGAGCAGTGTCATGAAAGGAAAGAAAGATAGGAGGAAATATGCAGAATGAGAAGATAATCTACAAACACTGCACAGAGGTCAAGGACTGAAATGTTATGTTTGCCAGTTAGAGATTATCAGTAAACTTTAGAGACAGCAGCTTCAGTGAATGACAAGGCCAGAAGCCGTATTGCAGGGAGATTTGCTTTTCAAGAAGAAAATTGAGAGAAGTGGAGGCAGTGAGTGTAGCTGGCTTTCTCAGGGAGTATAGCAGAGAAGAGAAGATATAGGATTAATCGATACATAATGGAGACAATAAGATCAAGTGAGTTTTTTTTGATATTCTGTTTTTGTTTTTTCCTGATTTTTTTTGGAAGTCCAGGGAGACATGGGCATGACTTTAGGCAATATAAAAACAAGGATACTTTTTAAAAAAGTTTTCTCTTCTGGTTACAGCCATCTGGAAAAAAAAAAGTGAGTTAGTATTTCTAAAGTATGTTTGCAGTTTGCAGTTCTTGCACTTCACAGAACAAAACTAAACTCAGCAAAAACTTTCACGTGCTGATACTTTTGATCAAAACTTAATTAAACAGAAAACAATTGCATTGAGAAGAGAAAGTATAAACAGAAACTTAATTAAAGAATTAATTGTTATTCTTTTTCTATGCATATAATCTCAGATGATCACAGTCTTTTTTCAGCTATTTCTAATTGACCTAATAAAGTATAATGAGGCATTTGTCACAAGACAAAAAAAAAATGAAAGTCAGGGCATTCCAAGATTAGGAAACACTTTGAGCAAAGGCTCTTTTTGCATATTCTTCCTTCTGCCCCACATACTTTTGACACTGACAGTTGACATAATAAGCTTTGTATAGTATATTCTAGTAAGAGAAAATACTATATGATCGGGGCAGCTAGGTGGTGCAGTGGATTGAGCACCAGCCTTGGATTCAGGAGGACCTGAGTTTAAATCCAGCCTCAGACACATAACACTTACTAGCTGTGTGACCCTGGGCAGGTCACTTAACCCCATTGTCTAACCAAAAAAAAAATACTATATGATTAATAAGCAATATAGTATAGTTGGTGGAGAGCATGACCTGAAGACAGGAAGATTTGTGTTCAAGTCTTCCTCTGAGTGATAATGAGTATGTGATCCTGAGCAAGTCAGTCAGTCTGTCAACTAGCATTTATAGCACCTACTATGTGATAGGTACTGTTTTAAGCACTCAAGATACAAAAAAAAAAAAGAAAAACACAGTACCTGACCCTAAGGAGCTCACAGTCCAATGGAGAAGACAACATGTAAACAACTATATACAAACAAAGATGTACACTGAATAAGTAGTGAACAGTCTTAAAAAGAAGGTCCTATGATTAAGGATGAGTAGGAAGAGCTTGCAAAAGGTGGCAAGACATATAACCACTCACTGATCCAGACAAGAATAAGGCTTAAAGTGCCACAAAGACAGTACCAGCCTACATTGGTAAAACAAATATTCACAGCATCTTTTTTTTCTTTTTTGTGATCACAAATAACTAGAAAAAATAAAAAACAGGTACCCATTAATTGGGAAATGGTTAAACAAGTGGAATATCATTGTCCTCTAAGAGATGGTGAGTACAAAGACGCATGGGATACAAACTGAAGTTAAGTGGAACCAGAAAGAGCAACATGAGCAATGAAAACAATATTAACAATATAAACGGCGTTATAAAATGCAAGAAAAAACAGTCCTTTGTAATTAGAATTATTGTTCAACCCTAGACGAGTGTTGAGAAAATGTTCTTTTTTTCTTTATTTGCAGAATTAAGGGACTATGGGTAAAGATTTTAACTTATACCTTGAAAGTTGGTAAATGAATGGGTTGATTTTTCAAAATTGCTTTCTTTTCTTTCTTTTCTTTTTCTCTCTTTATTATTATTTGTTGTTAAACGAGGTGACTTGAGGTTAGGTGTTTGGGGAAGGATATATTCAGAAATGAAGTGATATAAAGTCAAAAGATACAAATATACGTATTTAAAAATAATTTAAAAGACAGGTTGATGGTTCTATTTCTGATTCTCTAACTAAACAGACATGATAATCTTCAGTAACTTTTTAAAAATATTCCTCCTTTAAAAAGGTTACAGGCAATATCGAATAATATCTCTATGCTTTGTTTTTCATTTTAGTTTAGATTTTTTCAGTCAATAAAAATAATAAAAAGAATATTTGAGTTATGTACATAATCTGTTCTATGAAATTTTCACTTCTTAATAAAACAATAGCTTCTTTATAATACCTCAACTGAAGAAAATCTATGCTCCTATGACATTTTAATAAAAACAACATGTCATATATTAACATCTGATAAATTTAAGTGATTAGGAATACAATTTTCCAATACTCCCAATGTATCCAAAAGGAATTATTTGCTATGGTGGCTTCTTTTCATTGATTTTTCCTTTCCTTAGAAGCCACAGTAAAATAATATACTCAACTAAGGAAACAAAGATATAGATGTCCAATTATATAAGAAACCCCATACACACACACACACACACACACAATGTATATGTATATATGTATATATTATATACATGTGTGTATACATATATGTATGTATATACACATATATCATATATGAATAACACTCATAATGAAGGAAATAAACATTCATAAAATAAGATAAAATATATTATATATATGAAAACCATCAAAAACAATATATTCCCTTCAAGTCTACCATATGTTTGACCACATTTCTCCCTCTATACCACCTTAATTAAATATGCTAACTTAACTTTACAATTCCTCACATATGACATACTATGTAGCTCTCTTATCATAGACTTTTGTAATACAAAAGGCCTAAATATACTGGCTTTTCTTTTTAATCTATTAGTAGCACCCACCCAGGAAATAACTTTCTCTGTTCCCCTCTCTTTTCTTCCCCTCCTCTCCTGCCATGCTTATTTTTCTTGAGTCTTGCATAAACAATCAAAAGAGCCTGGTTCATACTAGGTGTTACAGTCAATATAGAAAAGGTTCAAGAGGCTCTACCAAATCTCAAGGTGCTGGAGCCAGCATATACTCATACAAAACATCAATGAACTATAAAATACAACACAAGATTCCAGATGGAATTGTTTAATCAGGGAAACCTTCATGAAAAATTTTGGACATGCACTGAATTTTTGATTGATTTACTTAACCTTTTGTGCTGTAGAAGCATGGTAGTCTGCTATAGTAAGAAAAAAAAGAATCAGATTCAAAGTTTCTGGAAGATTTAGATAATTGGTTTTGATCAAGGTTTAATTTCTGGCTGGCTACTAAGGTCACTTACATGATCTCGGCCCTCATTCAACCCTTGTTTCCTCATTTGTAAAATGTGGAGACCAGACTTGATTATCTGTATAGTTTTCTCCAACTCTAAATAAGTCATATGACCACGACTTTCCTGTTTCACATCGTGAGTTAAGGAAAAAATGTAGTACAGGGCAAAGACTTGTGGATTTGGAGGCAGAACATTTGGCTTTAGAATCCTACTTGCATCATTTAGTATCTATGGGATGCTGGGTGAATCATGTCATGGGCCTCGATTTCTTATTTGTAGACTGAAGCCATTTGACTCATTGGCCTCTATACTCTAAATCAATGGTCCTTTCATCATAGAGTGTTTATTTTGACCCTGTAGCTCTAGATCAATTATTCTAGAATTTTCTAATTATAGGTGAAGCTTTGTATCAGACAGTTGGTGATAGATACATTCACTGCATGGTAAATGAAACCAGAGATACTTTTCCTACAAGAAACACAATGAGCATCTGTTAAAGATGAGGTTCCCAAGATAAAGAATGGCAGATTTTTTAGTTAGTAGGACAATAGCAGCATAGCCTTGCTATGCTCTGACATATATTATCAAGAATTTTATTTCCTTTCAAAGTTTACTAGAGTCTAGCTCAATGATACTGTTACTGTTAATATACTAAGTCTCCTCCCACAGTGCTTTAAGTTACACATTATTTGCTTAAGTTCAATCAGATATAAGCAAGCAACCCTTGGCTGTGTCTAAATTCCCAGGCAGTTTAACCTCTTTTGCTGAAATTAATCATTACTAACTGG